ATAAATAAATAAACATATCACCAAAACTGCAATCATAAAAGCTTCTATTGTAGAATTTGGAAATTAATTTTTTTTTTAGAACAATATTAGGTATTAGTTAATATCAATTATTGTATTTATGTATTTTATATTTTATGGAATACCTACATAGTGTATGGGGTATTAAGAAAAAAAGCCCCCGACCAAAAACTATGCTAGGAAAAAAAAGTACCGTTGTAAATTAATATGCATAATTTAATAATAAAAATAAAACATAAATATTATTATATTTGTTATTTTGAGTTAATAACAAGTATAATTTAAAAATAATTTTTCTAAGGCATGATTTTCGTATGTTATGACTTAGGCCCGAATTACACGTTCATTTTTTGCCGCTGCGACACCACTGCGTCGCCGTACGTCCACTTTACGTTAATTGTCTGTCGCAGATGACAATGTTGCCGCAACAGCACCGCGCACGCAAATCCAGTTCTGTAATACATTTTTGTTTACTGACTCATGCACGCGTCCGATTTTTACACGCAAAATGTCCGAAATCAACAATGTTGACGTCAAATTATTTATCGGTGAGGTGTAAATGTACAAACAAATTTGGAACATCGCTGTTGAGAATTATCATGATCGGAACAAAAAAAGAAGCGCCTGGATAATTATTTGCCGGGTGTTTTTTCCATCGTTTGCCCAAAAGAATGAAAAAGAAAGAAATTATATATGTAAGACTTACATTGTAAATATATTCATAATATTATTGGGCATAATTTTATCCAAGGCTTTTTTTTTTTTTTTTTTCATTAATTTATACGTATTAGTTTATAACGAGACATTTTTTTTCTTAGTATGGTTTTTGATCAGGGGCTTTTTTTTCTCAATTTAGTGTATCGAATTTAAAACATAGAATTTGATCGTTGAGTCAAAACATTTATGATCATTATAGATACACGCAGTGCATACTACATAATACACGATTATAAAAACATGCTTATTGAAAACAATAGTTAATTTAAAACTATAATAAACCAACATTTGTTTAATATTGTAGTAGTATCGTAGTAACATCACAGCGGTGTGTACTTGTTTAAAATAACGTTCCGTTACAATATTGTACCCGGTATCCCACAACGAGTACTGGGTCAGTGTGCAAGCAGTGTACAGGACGGTTCTTACAAAAACCATCTGCTCTGCGATTATTTCGAAGTTATTTCACGATGCCTATACCTTTTCTTTTTAATAATACAATAAACCGGCCTGCCCGTAGGTTGTGCGAGCCGAATACATACTTCAAACACATTATATTAGGTATAATAATATACCGTGCACATATACCTACCCTGCGGTCATTTATATAAATCAAAAAGGTGGGCGTTCGCCTGTCACGTAGACACAAAAAAAGGGGGGGGGGAAATAACGAACGAATAAACGATGACAATGCGCACACATATTGTATACAATTTTATCTCGTAAAAAAAACACGTTTCAGTCGGACGAAAAAATCGGGATTAAAACAACGTGTATAAAAACCACCTGCAGTTCACCCTTCGTTGTTTTTGTAAAAATATCGTGTCACTACGATTATTTATAATCGAATTACTATATATATATAAAAAAAACGACGTTCTGAGATAATGGGGTCTGGTGCAGCCACTGTTGTATGTAATGTAATGTATACCTGTGTAACGTCCCCCCGGCGCCCTGTGCTTAACGCTCTAATTTATATTTACAAGGTCTCGGGGACTCGACCTCGGCGTGTGACATTTATGTAACGCGGGCCGAGGTAACTCTATTGGTGTTAAAATAAAACAAGACAATATTTAAATAATACGAATGATCTTATATTACCGGTATAAATTAAACACCTTGCGGGGGTGTCTAGTCGAGGTATAAGTGAAGTCCGTGATGGTGGCCTGTAATATCCGAACGATGGTGGCTCCTCCCTGAGATGATGGTCTTAATGGTACGCGCTACTGCTCGACTCGTGACACTTACAGTTGCGTTCCTATCGCCGGCCTCCGGGCGCGCGCCTAAAACCCATAGTCAGCATTTCGCCGTCCGTTCCCCCACGCCTATGACTGTACACCTAATACCGGCCTCGCACCACCAGTGGGATAATATACGTATCGTTAAATGTACCCCTTGTCCCTTTAAATTTGGGCCCCGGATTTAGGTGGTGAATGCAACGGCAGCTGCGTTATTGGTGACAGATAATAGTGTTGGTGTTTCGGAAATTGATGTTAAAATATCCAGTCAATGAAAGTAACGGTACTCCAACCACCGTCCGTCCCCTGGTAAACGACCAGCGGACGCCAACCCGTGGAGGAGCCGCCGCTACCAACACCGACTCGTGCTTCAGCAGCATCAATTTTCACGGCGAGTCAAAAGCCAAACCCACTGAAAATCGCCTGACGCCGTTCAGTCGTTGCTGACGACCGATTAGCCGCCTACGTCATCAGTGGTACGCAGCCGTCCAGTTGCCGCCGTTGCCCAACGACCGCCACGAAACAACCGCTGCCGACTCTCACGAAGTAGCGTTGTCCAAATCTTTGAACGCAGCCGTCAACACCTGCCAAAAACGGTCGCTACTTCTCTGAGTCAGCGAATTGGACAGCAGTTTTCCTTTGCCCCCCCCCCCCCCCGACTTATCTCTGCAGGGTCTCGGTCGCAGCCCTGACTCCGACCCTGATTTGCTCAAGCCCGAAGTTGGGATACTGCCCCCCTTACTTGTGTGTGTACGCCACGAAACTCCCCATTAAGCCCCCGATTGTTATATCAACGTCACGCCTCTTCAGGTCTGACCCCACCCGTGCTAACCACTTCTAAAAGTCTGTCCCGCGGCTCGGAATTAAAATGCCCCTCCCCCTCAATTTCACTATATTATACTACATATAATTTACATCACAATAAAGCAACGTGGTTACCATTAAACCTGTGCGTTTGAATTGACGAAGAAAATACTCCGTCTCAACGTGTTGACGGATATCAAAAATGTTAACACCAAAATGTATTTAAAGTGATACTTCATCTATTTATTTATTTTTGAATAAAGGATAATCTCATTTAAAAAACCAAAGTTGGTATCGCCACAGGATATTTCCTAAATGTTGTAAAAAATCTAAGTATTCGAAAATATCAACTTTAACTTTTTATTTGAATTTATGCTAATACCTGTAGTTCTTCATTTTCATTTGGTTCATGCGTTCGTGGTCTTCTATTGCGGCGATGATCAGCAATATCTGGAAGTTCTCCCTTTTATCTAAGATTATTTACTATTCGTAAAAAATAATTGTGGGGTGGATGATATCTCTCGGGATATCGTTCAGCATAAAATGCTGCAGCGTTACGCGAATTTTGATGACATTCTCCAAAAATTAATACCATATCGGTTTTTTCGGAATAGTTGTTTGCCATTATACAGAAAATATTTGATGTGTTACACGCGAGTTACGAAAAACGTTTGACTTTTAACAGTCAATTTTAGAAAGGTATCATATCTTAATCACACCGATTATTAATAATCTTAACTTCAACTACAACACTATCAAAAATAAATTAAGATAATTACTTCGATAATAGTTTATTGATTTGATTAAAAACATAATTTATTGATAATTCCAATAATACTTTAGTAGTTTTAACAAAACTAAATTGCTATAATATTTGTAAATGCTTGATTTAGATAGAGCGTTGAAATATACGATAAATACGAATTACCTAATTTAAAACTTTCTAGTGTCTTAAAGATGTCAACTTTGATGATATCAAAAAACAGTAAAGATCAAAGTTACTCCAAATCCAAAAATGGTGGGTCCTATTTAAGAAATTTTTATTTTACTGCGCATGCGCAGATAAAAAAAAAGTCAGAAATTAGAAATTAAATTAAATTAAAATCATATGTATTTATGTGTCCTGTACCCTGTAAAAAAAAAAAACCGAATCAAATTCAAGGTCATGCGTTCGAAATATTTCCTGTTACTTTTAATATTAAACACACGGTATAATCTATAATTTTATACAACGATAAGAGTAGGTTAATAATAATAATATTATATTTGGTTCAAAATCATAAATGCCACCTCACAGCGACGAGGTGGACGTTCAATGGGTCCGTGTATGCGCTGATGTTGATTATATATTATTATAGTGTATGTATCTAAAGCAAATGTCAATGCTTTTGTCTATGGTCTAAGCTCTAAAGATATTCCCATGGAACGTGATTGTGCAGACTTCCAGTCGGCATGTCAGTTATGCATATATGACATGCTATGACTGCGGTCTATATTGATTCCTGCCACAGTAACCGACCTAGCAGCCGGAGTGAATATGAAGACATGTCCACATAGAAAACTAATTGTAATGTACTTCGTTCAATCCCACAGACAGAAGAACAGCACAAGCGTATCGGTGCTTGTGTTAAGGTTAAGTACAAACTAAGTTTGATTTGAAGTTGTTTGTAGAAAATCAAAATAAAAAATGTCCACTAGGTATATAAATGGGAAAGGGGCGCTGCTTGCAAACATTTGATTGAAAAGTTATGGATTATTGAGTAAGAAAGGTTAGAGTTAAGAATTAGGAATCTTATATTAAAAACATACGATAATATATTTGTACAATAAAGTAAAAGGTCTTATGATTGGTCATATATTTAAAAAAAAATACCTACAAGATATACTGTATACCTACCTACCTACTTATTATTAAATATGTTTTGTACTTTTAATTTTTATTTAAAAAAAAAATAGATATTATAGGTAGGTAGGTAATGTATAAGAATGTACTGTACGTTAACCTATTTTTTTTTGTTGTGAGATACAAATTTGCATTAATTTGCATAATTTACATTATTGTATGCAGATTACTCAAGCAAAACGCCCAAATTAATGTGGTCACAACTAGTTATTTAATACCTAAATAATTATTTAACTTGTTATATTAGTATAACCAGGCATTACATAAACAAACAAATTTAGGAAAAATTAATTTTTATTTATACAAAATAATTACATTAAGTTTTGTGAGTTAGGTACAGTATTAACTCTATAGTAGTTATATACCTAATAATATTATATTATATTATAATATATATTACTTACTTGTAATTGGTAGGTACTTAACTGCTAAAATGTATTACTAGTGGTATTACCTACTCTATATTAAAGATTTGTTTTTGAAAACTTACAACAAATGAAAATTACTATAAGTAGTGAATGACTAAAAAAATTTTTATTTATTCATATTTATTTCATCTAATAATAATATTTCACGAAAAATATAGGTATATTAGGTACACAATAACATAACCATACAATAATTAGGTGCTGTATACCCCTCCATGGCGCAGTATTGAGACTTATTGCAATAAACTTCAATAACACATCAATAAATAGAATAGGACCAAGTAGGTACTGTAGCACTTGTTATGTTTACCCTTATATCTGTTGATAGAATCCTAAGCATTTAACAATTTTAAGTTTTCAGTGGACTACAGTCCTATATATTTGTTTGTAGTGGTGTGGATTATCAAATATTTTTCCAATGGAAGGATATTGCTTACCTAATTTACCATAGATCAAGTGTCATAAGTATTAGTCTATAACAATGTTGGTACAATTTAATAAAGGTTGAATTGTACCAGGATTGTTCCATTTTGTTTGGAAGGTTTTCTTTTTTTTTGTTGTGGGTATATTATCAAACTCAGTCAGGTATAAGTTAAATGAGTGAACACAATATTTTATAAGTATTTATATATAAGTTGAAATATATTCTAACACTTTTTAATTAAATTTGCAATTCTATCTGGCGTGAAGGTGCTTGCCATTGAGTGCTCAGCCTCATCTCAAAATCGGTAGCCAATATATACACTCTGGGCCCTCCAGCTAAAGATACTTAGTCTGCACTTTTGTACAACAACATGTTATTACTCAGTCGAGTAATAACCTCAGGTGCCTCTGCATCTGGGTTGGGTGAGAATATGCGCTAAGTTTATTCACAGTTGTTCATATGCGCCAGTCTTAGTAGATAGTTGCCTGGTTCATTCGGTGCACCCAAGATTAGCAGCAGCTGAGGTGAATTTCAACGACCTGTCCCTATCCGGAGAATGTGGCTTTGATAACGAACAACTATCGCCCATTTAATTTGACTTCATAAATAAAGTTGTGGCCTATACTTATATAATACTCGATTGCTTCGCTGTATAATATAATACTATAATATTTAAAAGGGAATAAGCAGACACCCCGTAACATTTTCCCAATAAAAAAAAAAGGTTTATGCCTTTCAAAAGACAAAAATCTTTTTATTATCGTCCTGCACCTTTTACATGCTTACATAGAATTACAAAATGTATTAAATTATCACTTATAAAAGTCGTTAGTACATTTTTCTTTTCTTTCCTAATTCTAAATTATTGATAGTATACAAGATAATTTTATATATTGATACATTGAAATTTGTTATTCAATTTTCTATCATACCTCTTTTTTTTACAAGTAATAAATGAAAATATTGCTCAATATTAAACTCTAAAATTAACTTCCCACAGCTTATTAAAATAATCCCACTATATTATATTTTGTATTATTATTTGCGTGCTACATGCTATGTGAAATCCTCATGTATCACAAAAAACCCCTGAAGCAATTTTCTTATCCTCGTACAAGGTGTTTCAAAACTCTCTTAAAAAGTCAATCATATTCTTATACATTAACTGTAACTCTCGTCCAGGATATGTGTTATCTATATCTAGATTTATTTCTATCATGTGTCTACTCAAACACCTGAATTTAATGTCGTATGCAAAAATTGTAACTCTATGTCTTCTTTTTCTTAGTAATTCTATTAGTTTCGATAAAAATTTGCAATCCCTCTTGGCATTGTACTCTCTAAAACATATCATTCCTTATTACTTGTCTTCTGCTAATTATTATATTCTAATTTAGTTAATTCCCACTTCCAATATATATTTATAAACTAATTATGTCCAAATTTTACCTTATACTTTTTTTTTATTTTTTATTATTTTATTATTAAAAATGTTTTTATAGTTCATTTACACGTTCTTGTGTATAGTTTAGTATTATGTCTAATAAGTTTGAGACCTTTAAATATGGTATCATTGAGTAACAAGTCAAAATTTTCTATAATAAGTATAGTAAACTTGGTATATTGTACGGTTTCTCCAATCATGTATTTGCATATACAAAATGTGTCTTGAAACAGTCTATTTCTATCTCCCCTCTCAATAATGTTGTATTGTGTCCTATTTTCGTAGTATAACTACAAATTTCCTAAAAAATTCCAGGCTCCTTATGGTCCAACAGCTAAAACATATTATTTCTTTTTTTATATTTTTGATTCTTATCACCATGTAAATTTTTTTTTACTTTATACTATATTTAATCATTATATATATTTTTCCCTTTTAATTTATTTATCCACAAAAAAATAAAACTATATTTCTATGTTACGAAAATATCCTTCCCTTAGCTTCTCCCTTATATAGTCTGCTATGCCATAGCAGAGGAAAGTTGTCAAGTAGCTTATGTTACCCTATACTAGCATCTATAAGTGGCAGCTAGGACATAACCGGTGGCTGCTCTAAGTTACTGTTAGCCATTATCAAATGATAGGGAAAACAGTGGTTCGACATTTCTTCTTCTGTTTGTTTCCAAAATACCGTGCTGTGACAACCATATTTCTCCTATTAGGTGCACCAACACGTTCTCTAACTTGCTACCTTCCAGCATCTTAATTTATGTATTTCAATAAATCATCTTATTCATTATCTGAAACATTCTTATTTTAATTATAGGTACTTAAATAATATCACAGTTTTTCTTTTTTTTATATATATACATCTCAATTATAACTTATTGTTATAAATTGTCAATTTATTTAGTCTATATAGTCTTTATAGTTAGTTAAGTCTATAGTTAGGTTGGGAAGTCCATATCATATAATTAAATACACATTTTGTTAGTACTATATCCTGGTTGTGATAGTGCTTTATACCCTGGTCTTTTTAGCAAATTAAGTCGAGTCTCTTTTGGATTCAGTATCTTTCCTTTTTTGGCAACGGTGCCTATATACTTTGTAAATAAGGTCCTGTCTGATTTCTATAGCTTATTGTCTGTGTTTTCACTGTATGTTAAATTTAGCATTTTATAGATAACCGGACTCTTAACCATTCTAATATTGGTTTGTCCGCAGTATCATTCCAAAATACTATGACTGGGGGTTCATTATTAGCATAAAGGTAGTAGTTAATGAAAACAGGCGTTAAATTACTTTCCCCTTTGATATTTACACTTGTGTGTATTTATTCCAGTAAAGGTCATATTACCAGTTTCTTCAATACATTTTTTCTTATTTATTATATTAGTGCCTCTCTAAGTTTCTTACAATTTGTTTTTTTAAATTACAGTACAACAATATTTCATTACTTTACAATTTTATGGCTTATGTTTTCTACCATAAATATTGTTCCAATAGATAAACGACAAGAGACTTTTTCTGTTGCATTTTTAATCCAGTTCTAGTTCATGAGCAAGTTATTTGTTTATTGATTTTTTTCTGTAGTTTTATTAATAACTGAGCAAAACCCGAAAATAGAAGAAATAACACGATATTTTACAAAAGTAATTTGTAATTACAAATTAGAGTTATATTTTTATTTGGTAAGTACATAAACTGTTAGACTTAACAAAAATGATTGAAAATTTGATAGGTTTATTATAAGTCATACTTAGTAGTAAAAAAAAATTAGTTTAATGTTTTTTTTTTTTTTTATAATAATTATTCAAATCAAATTTTAATGAAAATAGTGAACGTTATAACTATATAAGTTACATATAACCAGTACAAGTCCAAAATAAATTAAAAAGAAATCATACTTTATAATAAATATATAACAATTTATCTAGAAACACAAATTATAAAAGACTACCCTTAATTTTGGAAAATTATTGACATGACAAGAATCAATAATACATCTTACAAAATATCTCTTGATGGCTTTCTTTAATAAATGTACAACATAACTTTTAAAAAAATAAAAAAAAAATAATTCAGGGATTAATTTTTATCTGTTAAAATCCTTAATTTGTAACTGTTATTATTTAGGTAAATATAAGTAGTTAATATTTAAATTGTCCATCTTTTTTTACTTCTTTAAATTTATATTTATGACAAAATTGTTTAGTGTATTTGTATATATATATATATATTCCAATCATTTAGTGCATGCATTTCTTAGCAGATAATACAAAATATACATTATGTTTTTAAATCACATTAATTTCTTATTTTTAATTTTTTTTGAAACATTGACACTATTTTTTTTATTAAGATAATATGTACTAACAAGTAATGAAAAAATAAAAATACTTTTTAATTTTTTAGAATATGATTTTAACTAAAACCAAAATTTATATTTAAGGTGTTTGTTATAAGAAAAAGGAAAAAAAATTATGAAATAAAGATCATTAATTATTGATCTTAGGACTAGGGGTACTTAACAATAATAATTTTAAAAATGTAGAAACCGAGATTTTTTTATTTATTAATATATATTTTATTCACTATCCATTTTTATAGTAGTTGCTATACAACTATAACAACAGCTATACAACAAACTATAATTATATAATTTACCTTTAGTATAGGTATCCAAAAACACAATTTAAGGTCCAGAGGTTAAATAACATAGGTAAATCTAAAAATTCAAAGTTGAAATAATTTCAATTTTAATTTGTAGTTATTCAATTCGGCAGCATCTTAAATATTTGATTCATCACATTGTTTTTGATTTAACATTTAAATAAGGAACCTAGAAGATAAATATTAAAAATGTGTTAATATTATTAAATAAGTAGGTACCTACATAATAGTAATGTTACGAACTGTTTAACTTTTGAATGGAACCAAACCTGGTATGTTCAGTTAGGTTTAAATAAAAATATACATAAAAAATATCAATATTTTCCATCAAATACACAGAATAATGCACTATTTTTTGAACATTCATACGATTTTGAATGTTCAATAAGTGTATAGTTGATGTACAAGATGATTTAGGCAATAATTTTTTTTAGAAGTTAATGTTATACCTACATAATTTAATCCAATTTTTCATACTTTTGTAATATAATACATCAATTTAAATTATTGAATAATTAAGTACTCTTGACATTTATTCTTTATTTTTAATTTTAACTCTTCAATGCCTAAAATTTTTCACATAAAAAATATCCTCAACAAATTTTGGTGCGCTGAATTTGGGAAAAAAAAATTGTATTTTTATAACTAAATTACAAAAATAAAATAAACTTAAGTAAACTATTGAGTTATTAATTATTTGTGTTATAAATAACTAAAAATATTCATATATACCTTATAATAATTTTCAGTTTCATCTCTCATGATTTAAAATAGTATTTTTCACTCAAAACACATTTTGAAAGACAAGAAAATAAAAACTTTAATTGAAAAAATTAGATTGCATTACAAAATGGAAATTGATAACGTTTGCATGCGTGTATCGATAAAAAACATAGATTAGAACTTAAATTATACGTTAGACAGCGCAATGCATTTTTTGTAATTCATATGTATTGGGGAAACATAGTATGTTTTAACATGTTATATATTTATTACAATGGGCATTGAAGAGTTAAAATAAAAGATATAAAAGTAACGGACTTCAACTAAATCTTAATGGTAGAAGATTACTTCGTAGGTGGATGACAACTAAACCAGTACCAACTTGTTTTAAATTTGATAAAATATTTGAATATTTTGTTGGTTCGGGTACAAATACAAAATATTAATTTAAATTCAACTTTAAAAATCAATGTTCGTAATATCACTAAATTTGGTACTATTCAAATATTTCTATTAAGATTTATATCTAACTGATTAGAACTTTAAAAGTCACTATCATTATCTCATCAAACTTGTTTGATTTGAATTTGAATACATCAAATCAGTGGCACGCATTACTTTTAGAAAAAATTAATGAAAACTACCCATGTTACAAACATTGTTGTAATTTATTTGACAAAAAAAATGGTTTGAGGACAAGTACAATATTTCTTTAAAAAAGAATGAACTCACGATTTATTGTAAGTAAATATTATGTGTATTTTTTTAAATTGTACACAAATAATTTTTTTATATAATACTTGTATTAGCTGAATTGATGCTGAGAAGGTGGTTAATCGGATAAATGAGTCTTGACAAAATTGTCCTTCTTTTGAGAAATTTTGGATCATTAGGTAGCTACCTACATGGTGTGATACCCATTTCAGAACCCCAAAATGAACTCCCTGTTTCTCTATATATCCTTGCTTAAAAATATATCTATTCATTAGTGATTTAGGTTTACAATGTTTATGTTTTGAACCTATGATATCCCAATCACCCATTGGATCAAAAAAAATAAGTCCTTTGTCTTTACATAAGCAAAGTCATGAACATACATAATGTAATAAGTAATTGTTATTATTCGATCTAGGACAATTTGTTCCCACGAAAAATATAATATCCATCCCCATCATAATTTTATACACAGACAATATTGATGGCATAACGCAGATATGTTTTAAGTGCTGTTTTCAAAATTATACAGGTTTAGGATTTTAAAGTTTATACTGATATAACAAATCAAAAATATAACTTATTAACATAAACTTTGTGTTATATTTTCTTTAACAAATAATGAGTAATTAGGAATAACAATATTATTCTACCCCACTCCACATATATAAAAAAAAAAAAAAATTTATTCACAGTTGTTCATATGCGCCAGTCTTAGTAGATAGTTGCCTGGTTCATTTGGTGCACCCAAGATTAGCAGCAGCTGAGGTGAATTTAAACGACCTGTCCCTATCCGGAGAATGTGGCTTTGATAACGAACAACTATCGCCCATTTAATTTGACTTCATAAATAAAGTTGTGGCCTATACTTATATAATACTCGATTGCTTCGCTGTATAATATAATACTATAATATTTAAAAGGGAATAAGCAGACACCCCGTAACACTTCCCCAATAAAAAAAAAAGGTTTATGCCTTTCAAAAGACAAACATTTTTTCATTATCGTCCTGCACCTTTTACATGCTTACATAGAATTACAAAATGTATTAAATTATCACCTATAAAAGTCGTTAGTACATTTTTCTTTTCTTTCCTAATTCTAAATTGTTGATAATATAGAAGATAATTTTATATATTAATACATTGCAATTTGTTATTCAATTTTCTATTATACTTCCTATTATTATTAAGCAAGTACTTAAGTTTTGTAAGAATTCATTGGTGTACCTACCTACTTCAATAGTAAATTGATTTTTTTAACTTAATCGTACTAATAAATTAAACATTGTGTATAACATTTAAAAAATGACTTTGTGCACCACTGTATGAAATAAATTTAGTTATGTTGTTACGTAACTTGCAAGTCAAATTTTCATTTTTAACTACAGAATTTGCAGGGTAAGTACCTAGTACTCTGGGTAGTATCTAACTATAAAACCACCTATGTAAAAAATAAGGAATAACTAAAAACATGGCTCAGACATACACGAATTATAGAAATAAATCATATTAAATATGAAGTACTCACTTAATAAATTATTCTCATTATGGTAATGCAAAATAACGAACATATATTTTCATAGACAATTATAACAAAATTAACAACGCTTTAGGAAAAAATGAAAATGGGTTATGGCCTTATGAGTAATATTTAATATGTAAATAATCAAAAATTAATTGGGTCACTAGGTATCATCAATGAAAAACAAATACCAAAATTGTACAGTGCCACCAAGATGTTATAATGTTCAACACAATTTTAAAGTTTCCATGAGGTTTCATTGCCAAAAAAAAAAAAATCAATAACATTAATGATTACGATATTATGGTACGACCGTGACTACACGATTTTCAGACTTAAAGAGGGATAGATTTACGAAAGGCGAGTACTTATTGGATAATACTGGCGAATACGTGACAGGTGGTACGCCTGATTAACATTAGTAGCGGCGTAGTATTATGTGGTAGTGTTAACGTTTGGTTGTTGGTGTTCGCTATCTACGACGCCAGTTCCCCGGTTAACCGTGGTCAGTACATCTTTACCGTTGTACACTATGTGCGAACTACTAAATAGTCATTAGTCACCAGACAAATGATATAATCGACGTTTTCTTTTTTTTTTTTTCTACGCTCATCGTCGTACTCACACGCTTACGCATTAGCGTTACACACTTGCAACACGGAAATTTAATTTTTTTTGTTTTCGCGTTTATGAACTTTTACACTCGTTTGTTATCGTGTGCGTTTGTTCGTTTTTAATTAATTGTATTATTATTATTGTTCTTCTTAGCAGGTACGTCATAATATCATACACCATCATCACCGTATTGTATTTTGCTTTACAAAACAAATTGTCCATTTTTCTTTTTCAGTTGTAAGTTTTGTTTTACCCATTGTCCTATTACACCAATACATCTTGTAGTGTGCGATTTACAAGTTCGCTTTTTATATTATTAAACGCCACTTGGCTCTTCTGCTTGTGCCGCGTTCAATAAGTGTGCTTGTGTGTTATCATGTGAAAATCCATTGTGGCTTTCATTCGACTTAATACACTATACCTAGGTTCTTGACTTCTACTTTATTAGGTATTTTCTATATACCTGTATAAAAACCGCTTTCATACCTCTGATTTTCCGAAAATGTCAACCGAATATCAATCACATATGTCATACCTAGTAGTTTAATCACACAACACTTTTCTATGTTAGATGACCGCTGTTGAACAAAGTATGGTGTTCCAAACTGCGAACTGAATCTCAACTATTTGCAAGAAATGTATATTCGTGCAATATTTTTATATATGATATTCTAGTCATTATATTAATGGATACTATGGCATCCGGAACTATAATGCAGAAGCACGCGCCTGCTTATGCACTCATGAAACGTGGTAAACGTGGTGCTGCAGAACTCATTGCCAAAAATTGTAATGTACTTGATGCTGCTACATCTACTCAACGTGAAGACGATATTGCCAATCCTCCAGGTCTTAAACGTTGCGACCTACTAGATAACCTATTGGACATACTGCTCAACCCATACGAGGCGATTAGTGATTGGAATAATATAGATTGGTTACGTTGGCTCATGGCTGGTGGTAAAACAATAGATGAATTTAATACTGCTGGTAAGCTTATAGTTTATAAATTATTTATTATATCATTTTTAACTACCTACCTTCTCGAACACATATCTTTTTCCTCTGTTTGACAGTCCATTGATTGCCATTGCTGCCATTATGAAATGTCTCCATTTCTACATCATATGCATCGCCAAAAGTTGAATATTTTTTTTATCTTTTTGAAGTCTTGGACTATAACATCCATCTATTGAGTCCTTGGTTTTCCTAATGAATGCTATTTGTTTATTGTATTAAAAGAAACTTTTTTCACTACTTGTCTATTCACTCTCCAAACATGACCAAATCATTTCAGCTATCTGTTTCTTATATATGGTATAATATTATGAACATATTATTTATAAAAAAAAAACACATTTTATAGTTAAAGATTATGACTACGGTACTTGTTGTGGACTCGTTTGGACTGCCAATTACGTAGCATACAGATGTCGCACTTGCAGTATTTCGCCTTGTATGTCCCTGTGTGGAGAATGTTTCAAGCGTGGTGATCACACTGGGCATGATTTCAATATGTTTCGTTCTCAAGCCGGTGGTGCTTGCGATTGTGGTGATACAAGTGTCATGAAGCCTGAAGGGTATTATATATTTTGATATATTATGATCTATAAATTTATTTTTAACATGAAATATATAATAATTAAGAATATAAAGTTACATCTAATATTATGTATTTAAAATAGTTGATAGTGTAGTGTTTCAAAGAAAATATTAAATTTTTACCTTTTTTGTTTTAGCTAACCTAGAAATATCAAAATAATTTTAATGACATTAACTGGTATTCCAATTTTTACAAAATACAGTTAAATTAAAAATAATAACAATATGCCTAGGTATCTTGTTTTAGATTATATTATTATCAATTTTGAAAATCCCATTTCCTCTGATGATTTCATAGATCTCCTACCTTATTGTATTATTTTATATATTAATGCAATATTAATGTTATTTAATATAAAGTTTAAAACTATAATAATTAATGAAATGAAGAAATATTTGGATTGGGCTCAGATATAAAAAAAATTGTTTATATCTATCTATTTTGCCATGTTATAATATATTATCTTTAACAATGATGACTATAATTTTAAATTGTATTTATTTATTAATTTTATTTACTATTATAATTTCATTTTAGGTTCTGTCGTAAACATAGTACAAATAATATTGATGGTAGTACTAGTAGCAATAATACTGTTACTAGTAAAAAACCACCTGCTGATTTACTAAGAGTAGCTGAGAGAATTATACCAAGACTTTTGTTACGAATGGTGCATTATTTACGTGAAAACAGGTAATTTGTGTATAATATTCCCTATACCTGTTTAATTAATAATACACTTTTTTTTTAGTCACAATGCTGATATTAAATCACCAAATCAACAACTCCTACCAGTAATTGTTGGAGGAATTCCTGCAATGGTGAGCCAGGCATCACCAAGTTTATCGCTCAAGGAATTAGATTCATTTTTAGGAATGCTTCATGATCTTAGTGCACTGGGAGCAGCAATGAGACGTGTAATGACGGTGTCTCTTACCAATGAAAAAGTACATTTTAAAATTTCTAATAATTTTGTAAGAATCTAATAAATATCTTCTTTTTTTTTTTTAATGTAGATTTACCAATGGGCATGTGATTACTACAATAGTAACGATCCTCCTCCTAATCCAGACGTAGTAACACCAACAAATATATATACTATTTATACAAATAAAGTACGTCGTTATTATGCTGAAGCTGTATTTCAGTATACTTCTTCAATGTCAACCAGTCGTCAACGAAGTCTAAGTAATTCTGAAGATGATGAAGATGATGATGATGATGAAGAAGGTAAATTATGTTAATAATATAGTTATTTCAGGAATTGTGTTGAAGAAAATTATAGTCGTTTTTGTATTTATTTATTAATAGCTTAATTGTCTTCTGACTTCTATCCATTTATCTATACACATACAAATTTATCTTGATTTTGGAAACTCATAACCATGGTAACACAAATATTAAATGTAAATAAATAGTACCAAAGTATGCCTTTTTTAAATTCAGGAGATCCTTTTTCATTAAATTTTTCATAATTCCTGTTACAGTTATCTAATTTGGAAACTAAATTAAAAAAAACACATTGACAGGGCTGCATGTCCCTAACAAGGAAAATATGTATTGTAATATTTAAGCTGCGTCCATTTTTTCGTGTACTATTCAGAGTTGCATCTCCAAGAATAATTGTTTTTCTATATCAGTGACTCCCATATGGGCTTTACAGCTCCCTTGTAGGCTTTTTTAATTAAGGGGGAATTTAATTTTGTTAATTTTAAATAATTTACTTCAATTACGATGTGTGTGTATATTATAATGTAAATTTTATTCTCTATTGTGTCATGCAGTTATATCTACTGTTAATAAGGATCCCACCTTTAATTACCCTTAAACTATTCAATCTAGTCTAACTGTTATTATATATTAATCAAATTTACTGATTTATTTCAATTTTGATGAACTTTTACATACTTAAAAACAATCTCGACCCCTAAAAGGTGACTACAACATAAATTAAATTTTAGATTCTATACTATGTGAGAAATTTTGTCCATGTTTTATTATTTTTAATTGTGTGTAAATAATTACATCAGACATTTTGCTCCCATATATTTAAGAATTAATACAATTTTTGTATTTAATTGGTGTTTTCAAAAGTTTATTTTTTAATAAAGTTTTCTTAATAAATAGGAAAAACTGACAATTGTTTGTATACATTTTTGATTTATAGGTTACCTTGGTAACAAGGAATAAATACAACTCATTAATATTCTGCTTAAAATCAATATAAGAATTGTATATTGGTGTGTAAATTAAATTACTTTATATATCCTCCATTTCAACTTTCTTCCAAAAACAGTAGCACACCTATCATGTCTTTCTTTTCCCTCTCTTAAAGACCTATAATATATTATGTTATATTAATTTAGTCTATGTAAATAATATTAAAATCTACACTAATATATAATTTTAATATTCACATTCAATTATTTAAAAATGATAATATGTGTATAGCTTTCAGGTGAGCCTTTAATAATACTTACAGCTATTCATGAAAACATATGTAGGGTTTTTAGGTTGCCTCGAAATGTGCTGTTTTTTTACAGTACATTTTTTAGTTGTAGAGGTATACAACTGTGTACTTACACTGTGTGCTTTTGTCCTGCACCATGCTATGACTCAAATGATGCTTTATTACTCTACCCCTATACTCTATTTATTTATGGAATTTTAAATATTTTTGATTATAAAATTTGGTTCATCCCCAAATATTAGGACAATGTAATATTTTAAAATATATGATAGTTTTTTTTACAAGTCATTTTTTTAAAAATTTATTTTTCATGGACAAAATTTGACTGTATTATGAAATTTGAATGAACCTTTATTAGATTTTTCAGTGTTTCATGAGATATGGTATTTATTGATTACACAGTAAATTACTTAAGGAGTGGTGATCTAATAGCAATAGTAGTAGTGATAGTAATGCATATCATATTTTTAAATTTATTCACCTAAATGTTCTAATAATACTATTTTGATTTAATTAATATATTATATGGAATTAATTTAGCTTTAGTGTTATTTTTATTTACTAGTTTATATTTAAATTTTTTTTAGATTTGCCTATTGGTGTTCAGAATAGAATTAGCTATAAAAAGAAATTGGACCATTCTACATTTTTGCAAGAGATTGTATTTTGGACCGTAAGATATGAGTTTCCTCAAAAGATTGTTTGTTTGCTGTTGCATATGTTACCTGATGCAACATACAAGGAAGCATTGACTGAAGCATTTGTTATGCATTATGGATGTGTGGCCCATGTGTTGGCTACAACTCGAGACTCGGACACCCTTTCTAACCACATAGTTCACATAAGCGTTCAATTGTTTAGTAATGAAGCTTTAGCTACACGGATGGTAGATAAGTTGGGTTTGCTTCATATAATGGTAACCAGTTTACGGCGTATGATGAACAAAATATTGATACCTTCTACACTTCATGGTATTTATTTAATTTTGTGTAGTTTTATAAAGAAGAATGGTTATATTTACTAACTAAAGTTATTTATTTTCCTGTTCCTTTATTTATATTTTTATTAACTATATGTATAAAAAAAAAACCATTCATAAAATTATATCTATTATATAATTTATTATTATAGATCCAACAAAAAACAAACATAGAGTTGTAGATTGTTCAAAAGCTGTAATGAAAGAACACTGTTATTGGCCATTAGTGAGCGATTTAAATAATGTATTATCTCATAGACCAATCGCTGTTAAGTTCATGCAGGATATTCATTTGTTAGATTCATGGTTTTCTTATTTGTCTATGTTTCAAGGTGCGTTAAGTTACTTTTATTTTATTGAATCAAATATTTTTAAATTAACTATTTATATTACTCTATAAAAATAAACCTCTATAATTTATTAAATCTATATTTAGGAATGAATGTAAATTGTCAAGAGTTGGGAGGTCATGTTGAATTTGAGCCTAATACTTATTATGCAGCTTTTAGTGCTGAACTTGAAGCCAGTGCATACCCCATGTGGGCTATGCTGTCACATCTTACATCTTCTGAAACTTGGCCACTTGCATCACATGTATTACGCTCTTGTCTTCGACGTCTTCTTAAATGGCTTACTGATGTGGGCTATTATAATAATCAGCTCTGCCATGGAGCTGTTGGTTCTGCTGCCACATCTGCTGAATATAACATAAATCTTACTAACACTGCCAGCATTCAGAAATTAGATGATCGGCATCAATTTACTTTTCATTTACCTTTGCACCGATATTTGGCTGTATTTTTATGCCAAGCAGTGCGTGCTCAAGGTGCGCGCATCGAAGATGTTATACCGTGTAGCAACACAGGTGATACAAGTAGCAGAGATACATTATTATTAGCTATTGCTGCACATCCTGTTCGTGCACAAGCTGCTTTTTATGAGATTATGCAAGGTGCATGGGTACGGAACGGTTTACAGATAAAAGGCCAAGCAATGACTTATATCCAATCAAATTTTTGTATATCCATGGTAGATGCCGATATATATTTACTCCAACTCTGTTTGTCTGAATTATCAGACCCTAACATATTGATGTCTTTAATATTTGAAAAGTAATTATTGTTCACTATTACATTATTCATTTTTGAATTAATCAATTACATTTCAAGATTTGATATTTAAAATTTATAAATAACTTACAAATTGTATATTTTTTTTATTGCAGGTTTAAAGTGTATGACTGGACAAATGCAAAAATGCATGGTGGCTTACCCCAAGTCATGGCATCCCCAGAATTTGATGTAGGTTCTTGTATGGAGAGTTTATTTGTATTTCTATCCACTTTAATAGGTGTTCGAACAAATTTATGTGAGTATTCATTTATATAAATACACATAATAACTATTAATTTAAAAAATGTAATTCATTTTAATATGCTTTGTGAAAATTATAAAAATATATGAATCTTATGAGTTATGACTTATGAATAATTCTATATTCTATATTATTATTCTATAATCTATATTATGTTTATTTTACAAATAAATCTGTAGGTTCTGATGCAGATTATGACTATTGTCAATCACAGTTAGAAATGGTCACACTTTTATGTGTCTCTGATAAAACACATAGCCAATTAATAGAACTGATGCCTGAACGTTGTAGTAGTGGTACACAAGGAGCAGCCTCTTCTGCTTCCACCCGGGGAAACGCTGTGTCTCAAAATATTGATTCTCTTGGACAAAAGTCTCCTCCATCTCCTCGTGATTTTGAAACTGTATTGCAAGCTGTAAGTCTTAGTAGTCGATATAATCTTAGTTTCTATTATATATATTATATTGTTATTTTTATATTGTACTGTTTTAATGTGGAAGAATTAATAATAAACATATTTTGTTGTAAACATTTCTTACAAGGTGGCTGAGTACAAGAGACCTCAATTTGAAGCATCTGGGAATATGCAACAAGGCCTTTATGTTCCTTTAGCACATGTCTGGCGGGACCTGTATGACCCAGTCCATGTTCTTTTGAGAGCTGTTCATAGGCGTGATTTTCAATCATCTATGGATCGTTATACAACTTTGTATGTTAAAAACTTATTTTTTATTACATACCTAATATATTATAATTTACACTTACATTTTATAGCATGCGTACTGTGGGATCATTACGACCTAATGAAACCCCATGGCCTCCATTTAGAACTCCACAAAAACACCACCCGGCTTATCGTGATCCCCGCAGAGCATTATTGACTAAGTTGTTTCAATCCGCTGCTTGGTTTTGTCTTTACCGCGCAGCTGTATATCGAGATGTTAATGAACAAACACTTAGTCTATTAATCCATCTGCTTGATCAGGCATGGATATGTAATGGTACTGTTGGAAATGTGAACAATAAAACTACAAATCTACAACATCAACCAATGGATATAGATCAGCAGACTATAGATTCTAACATTAAAACTGATGAAGATAAATTTCCAAAAAAGAGTATTAAAGTTAAATCAATAGATTATAAGGCACATCGAGTTGCACCACTTCTGTTGGATCGGTGGTTTGATAATGATGATTTTGTGCAAAATGTGTGTACAACTATTACTTATATTGAAACTCCACCTTCATTATTAAATTACTATTTCGGCCCACCTCCTGCTGAAAATGAAACAACTAATGTGTCACAAATGGCCACTAACTTATTTGAATATTTTACATCTTCTGTAGCAGCAGCTACTTCTGCAGCTACTTCTGCAGCTACTTCAGCAACTACTTCTTTTTCGTCTATCACAGTCCACCATAACTTTGAAACTGGTAATAATAATAATTATTCATATTTTTAATTTTAAAATATTGTATTTAAAAATGTATGTTTTATTCTTCTAAATAAAATTGTTTATAGAGTAGCTATAATAAATAGCAAGTCATTTAAAAATCATCTAACCATTTGTATTCAACCAGGAGACAACCTTAAAATATATTTTTTCATTTTTAGCTTCCTCGCAAGAGTCACAATTTAATACTATTCCATCATTAGTTAACATTGCTGAAATTCCAGATAATTCTGATTCAGTTCAACCCATTAATAATGATGTTCAACCTTCTTCATCTAATCCTAATGAAACAGTCACTGCTACAAATTTTACTAGGGGTAATTTACATTATGATTAAATTAACTTATTGTAATTAAACTTTTTTTTTTTCTTATTTCTTGTAGAATCTGCTTTGGCTAGGTTAAAAAGTCAATTGCAATTTCTTCAACAGCATTCCCAGGATGAACATGTAAGTAAAAGCTAATATTTATCAGATTTTGAATATAAGATATAAATGACAATATAAGAATTGCATGTCATATGTTTAATGAGGGGTTCATCTAAATAGTTTACTAGTTTGAATTAAATGACACATTAAAGGGATAGAATATTAACTTTTGTGTTTCAATAATTTTACATTTCAAAATCTACTACAAGATATATTATGGTCAGTTTCTATGTTCTATATTCATATATTAATTTTTTAAATTATACTAATTATTACTCTAATACCATTAATATATTTTAAGATTTCATTTATTACTAAAATAGATTGATATAATATGTAATTATTCCATAGAATTAAAATTGTTATAAACTTTTCACTATTTAAATCCTAATATTTCTATAAAAATTAATTATTATATTCATTTTTTATTTACAGCCTCGTCTACCTGAGGTACCTGATGATGTTGATGAATCACAAAATTCAGTATGTGCCATTAATGAAAGTATCATTTCATTGCTATTGAGATTACATTCGGATTTATCTGGTAAACCAGATTCCTATCAGCCTCCTATACTTACACCGACAACCACATTTGGTAAAGTTAGTGATGAAGTGTCTGAAAATAATTATACTTCGGGTGCATCAAATGCAGTAAATGACCATCTTCAAGAAGAACCTCAACCATGCGGTGATGGTCCATTTTATGTCAGCCGTTTGTTGGATAGGATGGCCAAAGGGTCTAGTTTATGTTACGAATGTATAGTATATACTCGTTATAAATTATGGCCAAAATCTGTAGTTTTACGTGAAACAGCTACAAGGGAAAATGAAGAGCGTGAAAAGCGTGAACGCAAGCGTCGTGCCCGTGATAAACAACAGCAAATGATGGAAGAAATGGCACGAGCTCAACGGGCATTCCTAGAGAGTGCACGACTTTCTGGTGATTTAGATTCTAGCGGTCCATCACCAGAAATGCACTCTCCATCTACTAGTATTCCTAGTCCCATTAATAATACTACTACAAACATGGAATGTGAGGAACTTATGGGTACTGCAGATTTATCTACTGTGACCCCCTCTGGTAGTGGTTGTGCTTCATTATCTAATGTTACGATTGACACGGATGAAAACAGTTCCAGTAGTAATAGTATAACAAAAGAATCGGGTGCAAAAATGATTGGTCTTCAAAATGAATCAACCTTGACTGTAGATTGTGTGATTTGTAATCAAACAGTACCTGTGAACGCAGAACAACAACACAAAGATGCAATTGGACTAGTAATATTGATTCAGGTATGTATTTTAATTTTCAACACAAAATTATGTACAAATTTTAATATGGAATAGCTTTGATAGAAATTAAAAGGGGCTTGTATAGATAATTTTAGATTCAAAGTGTAGTAAATGATCTATTGATTTGACTATGATGTGTGTGTATTTTTTTTTATCTGAAAAACTTTTCTATTAGAAAATTTGCTCTGAAGTATAGATTATTGTAATATTTCTGAAAGATTTTGGAAATAATAAAGAATTATTTACTATAAGTAAAATGACAAATATTACTTCAATCAAAAAATGACAAGAAATTGATTTTTTTCATAGTTCTTATTAACATTTTGCTATTGACATTGTAAGTTGTTTTTCGATAACCAAAGTAGTTTTGAAAAATATAATAGAACTAACAGTATATTTTACAAAAATAATTCTTTTATTATTTTAAATTTGATTTTTTTTTTAAATGTAATTCAATTTAAAATACTCATAGAGACTTAAGATGTTGACAAGAAACTTCTATTTACTTTTTCTAGAAGTTGTAAAGTTTTCTGAATATTTGAACAATTTTTGAGATACTTATAGACATTTAAATTTTGGGATAACTTTGTAAATAAATTTTAGACTTAGGAGAAAATGCTTGAAAATTTTATAAAATGTTCATTATAAATATTGTACTTAGTAGTAAAAATAAAATTGAGTAATATAGTTTTTTTTTTTTTTGCAAGTTATATATAACTTAACTTTTCTCTAAATTATTTTTCATTATCAATGGTTTATCATTAGTTACAGATATAAATTAAAAAACTTTCTGTATTCCACCTTGTATCATATGTGTGCGTAGCTGAGTATAAAATTAGAATATATGAAATTAGATTGTTAAATAATGTGATATGTAAAAATCTTCACTAAGTACTCATTAAAATATTATAGTTAATTATCTTTCTCCTTTTCGTTTGGCTTCATTTCAACTATTTGCAATCTGTAACACTTGTCTTAAACTTCCACTTGGCCCAATCCCCCACATAAACTTGCCATCCTCAATCCCACCCAGCCACTTCTTTTTGGTCTTCCTCTTTTTCTCTTTTAGAGGATTATGACCATTTTCACACAATTTTTACTGCTTCTGATTCATTTCTTAATAACATACCCAAACCATTTCTGTCTATTTTCTCTCATTTTATCCACTATTAATGGGACATCTAAGCTACTTCTTATGTACTCATTCCTTATCTTATATTCTGACATTACTCCACTGATCCACTTAAAAATTCTCATCTTTGCTATGCTCACTTTCTATTCTATTTGTTTTCTATATTTTCTTTGTATTCTATTTGTATCCCAACACTCCAAACCATACAATGTGTTGTCAGCCTCATAACATTTTAGTAGAACTTACATTAAAATTTCATTAGAATTCTCTTGTCACATAATTAAAACATCTGACTCTTCTCTCTACTTTATTTAACCACACAAAATCCTATGTTCACATCCTCAGAAAGCCACTATTATTTTATGTAAAATATCCTAGATACTTATAATTCTTAACTTAGCCTATTACTGCTTATTATTATTAGCTGTCTTGTTCTGTTGTTCCAAACTCATACATAGCTCTCCTGACTTTTTTCACATTTCAATTGGTCTTACAGCTCACTACAAATCCTCCCTCTTACTAAATCTACCAAACCTTCAGTCTACTAAAAATGCAGGGTTTGCTATTAATTTTGTAATTTCACAAAATATTTCTTTCATCTTGCTTTTATATCCTCATCATTCTTTAATACCATTTTACTAAACTTTTTATCATCATAATACTTTATGGAAATCCCATTGACTGGTTTTCTCTAATCTTGGCCAATTGATAACCTTATTTTTCATCTTCCTTATTTCCTTGTCTCATACAATTCATTATATTTCTTTAACTTTGCTTTGCTTATCACCTTCTTAGCTTCCTTGCAAAGTCTTTTGTACTCTATCCAATCAACTCTCTTCCTGTTCTGCTACTAAAGCTGCTTAAAAATTTAATTGTTTTTTCCTACTAGCTATAACTCGCTGAACTTCCTCATCCCACCACCAAGTTTCCTTATTCTATGGTATACTACTATTCCCACCAACGATCTCTTTTGGTTTACTTTTAATACAAATGACCATCCTTTCCTACATCTCGTTATTTTTCCCTCAACATTCCATACAATTCTTTCATTTCTTGTATTAGTCCTATCAGAATATATTATTTTATAACTCTCCTATTACTTTTGCTTTCCTTTCCATTTAATGCATAATAAATACTGGCTTCTATCTCCTCTTTAACACTTCTACCAGTTATTGTTCTAACATTCCATATTCCTATTCTTACCTTATACTCATCTAGAGGTACTATGGATATATTCTTATCACCTCCTGCAGTGAGCATTCAAATATTAAAATATTAGTATTATATTTGTTATTGTAAATTATTGACTAATAATAATCATAATCATATTTAGGGTACAAGTATATTAGCACATAGACGCCATATACTGAATCAACCACGAAAGACAGCAAATTTAAACAATCTTGACAAAACTGATGACAGTTATTTAAATAATGATGGTGTTAATAACTGTGTTGATGAAGAGGAACACAATTATTATCATTACTGGCCCACTTTGCCACCTTTGCAACACCATTTGCAGGTATATGTGCCTAAAAATAGGTCTGATTCTGAGCGAAACCATCAATCAAAGATTGATAATAGTGATACAACTACATATGCATCACATTCTGATAAACGCACTCGACTAATGACACAATATTTTAATGTGAGTTTTTTTCCTATTATTTTCTTATTATTATAATTCTAGCTAAGTAACTTATTAATCATTTTTCAAAATATGTGTTCATTTGTACAATGAGAATTTTTTAAAAAAAATTGGCACATACTTTGTTTAGAAGTTATGGGGAAAACACTTCAAAAATTGTTTTTCCATAATGTAAATTTTTTTTAAAAAGAATACTAATCCTTAATTCATAAGTAAATCAAAACTTACCTATCATACTAAATTTACTTTTAAAGTTTTTGTACATAAACATTTGAAAATAACAATTTCAGAATTAATCCAAATTGTGTTTAAAAAATTGCTAAATAGCCCATACTCAGAGTTCTAGTTTACACTTAAGAGACTATTCTCCTTGCAGAAGTATAAAGTCTGTATAGGTTTGGTGAGGTTGCTCATACTGCTGTACATTTTTTGAATGATTCACAGTAATAATTATTGAAATAATTAATCCACTACAGTAACGTGTACTTAATAATCACATACTAATAAATAATTAAATTTAAAAAAGATGTATCTTAAAAATACCAGTTTTAAGATATTTTTCAAATTAGTTTTGTAATAATACTGAAAATTTGATATTTCAAGGTTAATGTACAAAAAATATAAAAGTACATATGATAGGTAAGTTTTAATTTTACTAATTAAAACCAAATTTTATTGGAGTTCTTCCCTATAGCTTCCAAAATTTGATTATTTATATTTTGTGTAAACACACTTTTATGCAGGAACTTAAATTATTATTAAAACTATTTTAATGATCTTGTTTTGCAATTTATTTTAGTTAGTATTATTTTTTAAAACATAATCAGCAAGCACTAAATATTGGCATAATTTTTCTTATTAATTTTCATTGCATTCAAATTATCAATTAATAAATTATTTTTAAGAATTTGGAGAAGGCTGATATTGAAATTGGAGCTGTTACTACAACTACTAGTACTAATCCTATTGGTGGAAATTTACAAGTACAGACTTGTGGGCATCACCTGCACTTGAGGTGTTGGAGTTCATATCTGTCATCTTTACGTGGTGCCCAGCGGTTTAATTCAGATAGGTATTTAATATGAATTTCAACATTTATATATCAATTAAATGAGATAAACTTGTTTATTGCAGAGGTGAATATAGTTGCCCACTCTGTCGACAATTGGCAAACTCCTTATTGCCATTATTGCCAGTACAAGAACATGAAATGTCTTTTCGTCCAGGAGGCTGTGCAAATGTTATGGCACAAACCATGACTGAAATATCAAAACTCATTAATCAACAACAATGTGAATCTTTGGTAGCTGTGGTTCCTAGTGAAAATGATCCCAACGCTGAATCGTCTAATTCAGCTGCATCCACTAATGAAAATAATGCTGAAAAATTACCTGTTAGTTTTTAAAAATTTCAATGATCTCATAAAATATTATTAATATATAAATATTTATCATTACTTTAATTTTTAATAGGATCCTGATGAAAGGTTTGTTGCTGAAGAAGAAATTGCCTCAGACAGTGGAGATGAAGAATACTTTGAAATTGTGGAAGATCAAATATATAATTTTATTAATAAATGTATATGTGATATGGTAGTTAAAGCAGTAGCAACTCCAGCAGCTCAGCGAGATAAGCGGTTCAAAGTAAAATGGCATAATGTGATATCAATTGCGTGGACAAATATTCAAGTGGAGTTAATACAACGTAATAACACACTTATGGACCAAACAAGACAAGAATGGTCTCCTACATCACCTACAAATCAGAAATTGTCTGCTTCAACAAATATTACTAACACAGATGGCAGTGTTAGCAGCAATAACTATTACAACATGCTGCCTAAACGAAACTGCATGAGTATGTATTCAATTATTTTTCCTTTTAACATGATCAAAATGTTCCCGTGAATATTAATTTATTTATGTATATACACAATTCAAACTTAAATTATATTAATCTCTTTCGAAGTATCATCCACACCTACTCCAATGAATTTGCAACTGCTGGAAACAATTGGCTCTAAGAGTATCTTTGCCATTAACTTTGATGCCTTCAACATTTATATTGATAAAACATTTTAAGATTTATGACAAGGAGCATTATCATGGTGCAAAAACAAACTATATATTTTTGAATAATTGATCTGAATAACTTCAACTTCAATATAAAAACCGCAGTAAACTGTCATTTTATACAAACTCCCCTGATTTAATTCATCGTTGTTGAAAAATGCAATTATGTAAATTCAATTGTAATTTAACAACATGTAATTTTTTTAGCTTTTTATGTCATTTTTATGACTGCAATTTTTTTTCTGAATCATAAGCTCTGATTAAAATGTATGGCACAGATTTCCCAAAAATCATTTATCAAAACATGTTATATTAAACCATATGATATACTCCTATTTTATTTGCCCTATCATGAATATGTAAACTAATTATATTAAATTCTGAACTTTATGACTGTTCTATCATATTTTTGAAATTGATGGTCCACCACTTCTTTCTTTATCTTCAAGTGACTATTAACTTTTTTTTTAAAATGTTTAATTCTATGATAAATAATTGTTTTTTTAATGATTCATCATAGTAAACAATACTCAAATATTTTAGTTTTTCTGAAGCGGTTTTCCCAAGTTCTCATGATTAAACCTAGGGAAGCTCAATTTTAATTCCAGTATCATAAATGCTATAAGAAAAATAATTTTTCTTTGATAAATAAATTCTTAGTACTTTTTGATCTTATGACTTAACGATTTTATGTTATTTCTTATTTTAATTAATTAGGGTTTGGATTTATAAATGTTTTTTAAGATATTCAAATATTAATTATACTAAATATTAAAATAATATGCAATATTATTATTACAAATATGTAAAACCTTGTGGATTTTATACAATAATATATTTTTAAAATCTTGTATTTTAAAATATAATTTAAATTTACAATTTAATAATTATTAAATTATTTATTTATGCACACTTGTTAAAATAAACATTTAATTTAAATTATAGCTCCATTATTAAAAGACTTGGGTGTAACTGCACGAGCATTGCTGGCAAAACAACAGACAAAGACTTACAATCCACTTTCTGATATTTGGTACAAATTGGTAGGATTAGAAACGCCAAAACATTGTTATAGTGCTCAACCACCATTACTATTGCGTGATCCATGTAGCATACTTTTACAAATGGTGTTATTATTACCTAATATTGACAATGGTTTGTATAATTTGTATTTTGTTGTTCTTAACTTTTTTGTATTGAGTTTTTTTATTATTTATTATCAGTGGTGTAACTGGGATTTTTCTTTTTCAAATGATTATCATAATAAAACAAAATTGACTTTATTTTATGTTTTAAAAGGAAAGTATGATAATTTGTTACAGTACAGAATAATAAATTGGAAATTTCAAAATTTGTTTTAAAATGTGATAAATTTATATTGGAATGAAATTTATGCAATTAATAAACATTAAAAAAAAAAAACATTCCGGTTACCTCCCATTGACTATTTCATTAAATAATATTAATATTACATGAATTAGTAATATGTTTTAAACTTTTTATTTATAGATATGTTTGATACTTTGGTCAGACTTACATATAATATGCAAGTGTATTCATCGGCATTGAAAGTTGCTATTACATGGCCTCATGATTGCAATTACAGCCATCAACTTCGTGAATCCTACAAAAAGCGTGGTCGCTGTAAGACAAATAAACTGATAAATACTACAAACAAAATTGGTTCAGGAAATAGTGGATTTAACAAAATGGATATAGATGAGAGCTTTTTTGAAGATGATGATACATCTGTTTTGTTTTCACAAGCTGTATCTTTGGCTAAAAAAATAGTTTTCTTATCACAAGATGATATTAATGTAGAAGATGTTGATGTTGATGACCAGGAAGTAATTGAGGATCCAATAACATCTATTTCTGAGGATGAAGACAAAAACATGTTACTTCTGGAAACATATGGAAGACAATGTACTCTGCCCTTTTTACGGTTTGCTGCATTGTTAAAAAATTATACATATTATGGAGATAATCACTATAATCTAGATGTTAAAGGCGAATCGAAGACAATATCACCATTGCAACAACAGCAGCAGCAAAATAACTTAAATGTGGAACATGGAAATAGAGAACAATTTGTAGATGGGGAGACATATAGACTTGATCAGTTTATGAAACATTCAAGGCAAGCAAAATATTCCTGTTGGTCTCGAGATGATCACGAATTTCTATTGCTTGCACAATATTTAAAGCTTTTAAATACTACAAATGAGCATGATAGAAAATCTTACAATTCCTATGAAGAACAAAATGATGGTAACGTGAGCAATGTTGATATTAGACTGTCTTTGCAGCCTCCTTCTGCTATGGAAGCAGTAATTTGGCCTCAATGGTCATACTCGAATACTGATGTAGATTATCGTGCATCCAATAAAATTTCACACACTTGGCTAATGGCTTTCCGTGAAGCATTATTAATTCCTAGAAATGTCGTTATTGCTCAAAACATGAGCACTGTTGTATCTTCAGCCGCTGCAAAATTTATTTCCAATTCCAATGCCTCTTCTACAACTAATATATTAATGGCTGCACGCCTTTTATTCGCTGTCGATTGTTGTAATAGTAGTGGAACTACTGCTGATGGTTTGATTTTAAAAAATATTTTACCAATGATCAATTGGATGGGCCCTCGGTTATTGAGATTGCCGCATCTATATGATGACGTGTTCCAATACTATCATGGCATGGCTTGTCATCGATGTCTTGGAATACCTCGTGAGACCAGTGTATGTTTGTTGTGTGGAACTGTGGTGTGCCTGAAAGAAAACTGTTGTACATCAAGTGGAGTTTTTGAAGCAGTACAAGTACATACTTTATACACCTTTATAATAAATTCAAATTATTTTAATATGTGGAATAATTCTATTTTTTAGCACTCATTGGAATGTGGAGGTGGTACAAGTATGTTTTTGGTGGTGACTTCTAGTTCAGTAGTAGTAATTCGTGGTAAACGGGCTTGTCTTTGGGGATCAGTTTATTTAGATGCATTTGGTGAAGAAGATCGTGAACTCAAGTAAACATTAATTTATTATTTGCTATTTACTTAATTTGATATTGACTTATTAATGCATTAATTGTTTTTATTAAACAGACGTGGAAAGCCATTATTCTTAAGTGCTGAACGTTATAGGCTGTTGGAACATCAATGGTTAGCACACAGATTTGACCACACAAACAAGAAATGGGTATGGCACAGAGATGCTTTGTAAACTATCATGATAATTATTATAATCATACTGGCCTGGATAGACAAATTATAAATTATAATAATAGTCTATAATTGCAAACAGTAAACGAGTATGGTATCAATGATTACCAAGTATGGTATCAATGATTACCAAATTTGTATAATGTTGTGATATAATGCCTAACTCTTAAATGTTCTAATTCCTCAGTCACATATTGAGCTGAAACAATTATTTTTTATTATTATTATTATTATTATTATTTTAACCGTTTTTATTTACAAGTAAACTATTATTATAATTATTATTATTTGATTACAATTATTATCATACAAGTATGTATAAAAATAAAAATTAGTTTATTTATGTGATTTTTTCATTATAGAAGTGTATCATTAGGTAGTATTCATTTTTATAATATTTTTGTTTAATATTGATTGAATTACTACATATTATTCATATGCAGTGTTTACTTACCTATTTTTATTATTACAATTGCATTCTATCATTTATTGTTGTATAAACTGTGCAACAAGCACATATCCACCTACACACACTAATGGTTTATGTGATTAGGTAACAATAATACTATATTAGTAATGCATAGATTCTACTTTTTAGACTTATAAATGTCATTTATTTAATATAGTTAGAATTTAATTATACTACAATACTATTTTATTATATAATCTTAATATGTGTGATTGAGAATCGTAAGAAAATGTTCTGTTGATTGTTAACTTTAGTATACTCTTTCCACTTAATAATGATTTTGTATTATTTTATCTTTTATGGTAACTAAATTATTTTCATCTTCTACGCTTAATGTTTACATGTTATTGTCAACTTTTTTTCTACCGAACAACAATGCTAATATTATTTTAGCAATAATGATTTGTACACCATATTAAATATTCATTTTAGTAGACAGTAGTTTTTTGTTTCTTATTGTAAAAATATATGAAAAATATATTAATTATCTTTTAGAACCATTAGATTTTAACATAATGCTAGATAATAAAAATAATAATAACCTCTATATGTCATGTGTTTAACTTCTTAATTACCTACTTTTCTACTTTAGCTCTATCTCTACTGACCAACTCCTTTTTTATTATTTTTTTTCATATCAGTTTTAAATACTAAATAATTATTAATTATATAGCTGTTATATGCTCCGTCTCTCTCCATGTTATAAATAATATTATACAGCATAAAAGTATTGGAATGCAGCACAATATTAGGTGTGTTGTCCTCAGATCAAGTTAGCCAAGCAACAGTTATCTTGGGTACAAAATCTACATAACCGATTGGCCATCTCAATAATCTAATAAGAACCCTAAAAATTAATCATTGCTAACAAAAACGATTCTGAGTGGAGCTTGGTTAATAGTATTGTTCAACAATATATATGTCATATTACTAAAAATAATATATTGAAACAATTTATATGAACCAGTAACTAGATTTGTCCATTTAATTTTTCACTAAACAATTTTCATCAAAATTTAAAATTAAAATTCTTGTAAATAAAAAATTTCTTAAATTAAATTAAATTGTTTTAGTATAAATCTCAAAATACGACTTAATATTAACCTCCTGTAGAATTTTCAATCACTTCTGTTTTGCCTAACAATTTTATCCGCTAAGTACCTACCAAATAAATACTCACAAAATTAAAGTGTCTATAAATAGCTTATATATGGTTCAAATTTGTTTACGGTTTTAGCACATAAAAATAAGCAAACATAAGTTTTCTGCCCAAATTTCAAGTTTATATGAATATTGAAATCGAAACTAGATTTCTGCCTCTCTGGTACACTTTTGACACAATAAAAAAAAAAAAACATTTTTGTAAAACCAATGCATTCTTTACTATACTCAGAATCTAAAAAATTATGTCAAATAGTATATTGATTATATCTAATTTTGGATCAATGACTATGCCAAATGCCAATGTAAGACTACTTCTCTCGGGAGAAGGGGGGGCGACCGACCCCATAGCCCCTTCTTCCTCAGGGACGAGCCTGAATAGGAATCATTATTGATAATTAGAATATTACGAAGACACAATGAAACAAAATAATTCCACCGCAAAAAAGACTAGATAAATTAATTTAAAACTAAACGCTCTTTTTATTCCAACATAAATGGGTACCTATATGATTTTTTTTTTTTACGGTCCCCTTATAGCTTTTACAGCTTTACTACTTATATGTACTCATATTGTATTATATTTTATTGTTAAACAGGTATATTTGTAAGATTTTTTTTTGTGTAAAACCATCATCGTGGCGTTGCCATTTTTTAATGGTTACCTGACAGAAGGGCATTAACTTTATTTGGTTGGTAGTAACATCGGAAAAACAACAGCTGTGTGGGCAATTCCGGGAGATAACATGTCACGTCAATCCGATAACACACGTCCCATACTTTCATGCGATTTATCCTTAGTTTGCCTTATTATGGGGCGTTTCTCTTACTATTTTACGCATATCACGTCACCAGCTGATTTCAACGAAACACTCCTACTGCATGGGATTTGCAACATTTGCACCACAATTTGTACTTTGTTACAGTATACCTTATACCGCCAGTGTTTCCAGAATCAAGATCAGTAGGTTCCCACTTGTCTTGTGTCTCCAGCTGATTTTAACAAACCACCCCCACTAACTGTGTAGGGTTTGTACTTTTTTACAGTGCGTTCTAACACCACCAGTGTTTCCAGAATCCAAATCAAAAGATTTCTCACTATAAACAAAGTAGATTTAATGTCCTTGTCAGTGAGTAAAAACGGTAATGGCAGGGCTTATTTCAAAGCGCAGTTGGGCCTATTTTTATATGGAAAGTGAAGATGTGCACTTGATAATATATTTTCGTGTAATTGATTTTTTTAAATTTATTGTTATACTAATAAACACAATCCTGCGAATCTTTTGCTGTTTTAATTTTAAATATCAATATTAATAAATTTGAATGCACTGAATTCAAATTTGTATTTAGTTTTTCTTTTACACGTCTAGTTTTATGTTAACTCTTTTCTATAAAATTCCGTAATATTAATCTTATTATTAATATTAACCTAATATATTATAACGTTATTAAAAACTTGCTAATACGAGGTACTGAATTGGTATTGGTATAGAAATTATGAACTGGAATTCAAACAATTTTTTTCAAAAGAAGAACCGCTTATATTTTATAATAATTTTCTGACTAATTTAATATTTAAAAAAAAAAATTAAGATGTAAATGATTGGAGATTATTTATAGATTAACAAAAAAAAAATCTTAAACATATTTTACTTCATTAGGAGAATCAGTTAGCGTCTAATCCCATACCATATTTTGTCAATTTACAATAAATATATGAAAACTTACATTTACTGATAGAGCTAGAAAGAGTTCTATGACTGGATTGTTTGTGGTCATTTAAAAATTTTATGAATGTTATTAGGTTAATGAAATGATTTTATTAAGTTTAATTGTTTTTATGTGAATGGGACAGTAAAAATCACATTAAACACTGGACCGTGAAACATTGGCCAAAAAGGCAAAATTTGAAACCGGGATCTAAAAATATAATATGTCATAATTTGTATGAACCGTACAAAACTTTATTACCTTTTTTGCACATAGAGTTAGGTACCTTTAATAAAGCAATTTAAAAGGCCGTTGATAAAAATGGGCATTTCTTTCAATATGTCTGCAACAGTATTTCCTATTTTATCTGAAGCAAAGTTCAAAGAAGGAATATTTGATAGATCATAAATAAGAATACTATTGAAAGATTTTTATAAAGTATGACTTGCAAAAATGCAAGTTTTTAGGTAATACGAAAAATCCAAATTATGAATCTATTTAATGGAAAACTTACGACTACTGGGTTGCAATATGAGAATAAAATTTCACTTTTTAAATTAACATATTGACTATTTTCCGGAAAATTGGAGTTCATTAAGTAAACGTTTTTATCAAGACATCAAAGAGATAGAAAGGCGATATCAAGGTTGATAAAATGTTAGTATGATGGCCGATAACTGGTAGTGTATAGAATGTGAAACTAAAAAACAAAATTATAAAAGAAAACCAAATAAATTTAATAATAAGTTTCTACGAACCTAAAAAATAGAAAACTGCTAACATAATACTTGAATAACTTATTTTATTTAATACTTTAAATTCAATTAAGCCACATAAATATTCTTAAATAAGTATGTTTAATACTATTGTATAATTTACTTTCATTTGATTTATAACAGTTGAAATTATTTCAAATATTATAATAATACGTATCTATAATATAATTCTAATGTAAATATGTTCTCCTTCTATGGAAATTTCAGCTGTAGAAAAACTAGACGTGAAAGAGACAAACTGATTTCAGATTGGAATCATTATAAACATCTATAAGAATCAATTATGATTATACAAACGACAATAAAAAAAGACTGATATACTTCGCAGGAGGGCGGGCCGGTGTTGTTGATGAGAAGTCGGAAAGGCAAAGGGGAAATTGAATATAAATTTGTAGTATGCAACGATTAACCATTGTAGCTAGCGAAAATCGGTTCTACAAAGCGGAGTTCGGTTAATTGTGTTGCTTTGTGAACGATATATGTGTCACATTATGATAAAAAAATAACATAATAATATGTATTTTATAATATTTTCTTTAATAATATTTGTTTAATATTGTATTTATTTTCCGGTTTTTTTTCGATTTTTTCCCAGTTTTTTCCAATTATTGGGAAAACTCCTGGGAAAGTAAAAAAAAGACCTACCGAATAAAAACTACGTACAAAACTAGCAAAATTAAAATGTCTATAAATAGCTCGAAAATGATAAAATTTTAAAAAAATTTTACCATGTCTAGAAAAGGTAAATATAATAAGTAAATATAATTAAGTTTTTGTCCAAATTCAACCTGAATTACAACAAATAACAAAATTTAAAACAATAAAAGTATTATTCTCGTAAATTTCCCGTTTTTCTTACGTTTTATTCTGGTTTTTCCCAGATATTATGAAAACCATTTGAAAAATCAAAAAACAGACCTCCTTATAATACTATAAAGATAATATTTCGTTTCAGAAATGATGCTGCACGTATATATCGAAACCAGATTTCTAGTAGAATTTTTGTACACAGAATAAAAAAAACATAAACATCATAGTAACATTTCTAACACCACTCAAAATCTAAAATTAAACACTTAAAGTAAAATACATTTTTTTGTGCGTATTTTGTTGTTTTCTCAACTACAAATGCATATTTTGATTGCGTATTTGGTAATTTTTTAGTGTATAAATGCATACAAAAACACATTAATTAAGTCTAACAATTTATCTACAGAGTACCAAATAAAAATAACGTACAAAACTCGCTTACTCATAAATTAGATTAAAAATGTAACAAACAAGGTCTTTTGCCGTTTATCTATTGGAGCAATATTTATGGTAGAATACATAAACTGAAAAAATTTAAAATAATGAAATTGTACTGTAATTTGAAAAAAAAAATCGTATTTTTCGTCGTTTTTGGTTTTTCTCAATTATTCTGAAAAATACTTTGGATATTAAAAACTATTTACTCTGTCAGTAGCGAAATATTGGTAGGAACAAAATCGATATTTTGTCATTTTTCGACTTAAATAATATCTTTGGTAGAAAACTTAAATATAACACAATGAAAATGGTAATGCCGCAGCGCGCCGTAAATATTTGTTGTTTTACTTATGATTTTTTGTCGGCTTTTTCCAATTATTTCAAAAACCCTTTGAAAAATCAAAAATGACTTTCTCAATGAATTAACTAGAGAAAATCACCCTTCAGAAAAAGTGCTATATTATATATTTCGGAGTAAGTTTTCTAGTTGAAAAACCCACATAATAGTAAAACCAATCGATCCCTCGCTACGCTCCGAATCTAATAGTATTATTTGATTTAGTAGAACATGAATCAGATTTGTATCCAGGTTAGCATTGAATTAAATAAATAGAAAAAAAATGTTATTTCTTCGACATCCGGACCCTATTAATT